TACTATCACCAAGGTATTGTACATATTTAAATTTTCTAGATAAGATTAATTTCACATATAACCCAAAAATACTGATACAAATCATTTGCAATGAAATCAGATTAATAGTTCAGCTATATTAGTGTTTGTGAAAAACATGTTGAAATAACTACTTGGATTAATATAGTTTTTGTATCTCTTAAATGCTCAAATGACTGAAATATCATACAAGATATATTTCTCTCATCAACTATTAATATGCAATATAGTTTTACATTGTATTAATAGATAAGCTGCCTTCTCTAGAAATAGGTGAGAACTTTCATGTTCAATTGGAAATATCTAATTACAGATAATAAAAAAAATAAAGAGTATAGAAGAATCCAGAAGATTTAGACATACCTGATCTTGCCAGAAACGGGATCCTTTATGAGAGATTCTATGGCTCCCACATGAATCAGATCATAAGTCCGAGGATATGTTGAGAAAGGCTCACACCTGTGACACGAGTGGTAAATGGAGTTCATTAGTTGAAGTGAATAATCAATCTATCCATTTGCTTTGGGGAAAGAACAACACGAGGCAAGAAGCTAATGTCAGCACTTATCATGTGGAGGTTTCATTTTTCCATGGCTCTGTAAGTTTTAGGATAAATAAACCACTAGGGGATGAGTCTTTGAGTAAGGAAAGAACTTTCCAGACATAAAGAATAAAGAAAGAGAATTTGTATCATAAAACTCGCTGTCTAGCAGAAAGGATTTAGATTTTTTTTCTTACGAAAAGGGATAATGATCCAGAATCCAGTCAACCATATACTTCTAAGAATGACTATCAAATATGTGATAGAAAAATTCTTGACCCACCAGTCGTGGTAAACTCCAATAAGGCCTCTGTCATAAATGACATCAAGTGTTAAAGGCTTCTGTGCTGGAACAACATTCATCACCCAGATTGGATCTGATGATAATGCTGCAGCAAATCCTCCAAAAAATGCATTCATGTCCATGACATTACGAACTGATGAAGTTCCTAGTTTCAAGTTCAATGAACTCTTATAATATGCAACTCTCCGTGCCCATCTTCTTGAGTCAGCTTCAAACACATCCACTCCATTTTTAGTTACAATTGCCCTAGAAGGAGCTTTCGTCAGCCTCGCTGGCCATTTTGGAATTTTCCCAATGGCAAATTCTCCTTTGGAAGATGAAGTCCTAGTCACGCATTTTTTCAACTTGAAGTACCTGCAATTCATTTAAGACAGAAAAATAGAGATAGTTATTTATAAAGCTTCCAACAAGAATATGCTTATCAAGGCGAATGCACCAAAAAATTGTTGGAGATCACAGAAAGATGTAACTGAAGACTATGAAAGGAGAGAAATAAAAAAAAAACAATTAGAGAAATCATGAATAAGAATCACCATGCAGCACTTGGATCAACTGATTCATCACACAGCTCAAGCCCAAATTCATTTTGAATAGGAACACATGAATCCCCTTGAGGCTTTTTCCAGATGGCAGTGTTTCCATCTACAACAATTAGCTCATAGCACAATGATCTGGCCACTGTTTGGAGATCCGCCCATTCCTTATCTTGCTTGGGCCACTGCACGGGAGGACCAGAAATGACAAGGTGGCCTCCAGGGCGGAGTAACCGGTCAACTTCAATGAAGTATGTCGCATCTGCATGGCAAACTCTTCTGTCAGGGTTTTCAGACAAGATAATAAAGCACCTTGACAATGACCATGGAACTCAGAGAACTCACTATATGCAGTAAAAGGAATCAAACACCGTGAACAATGAACCAAATCAAACGAGAAGGCAGGAAAAGGAAGCCTCCGTGTCCCAAGCATGGCAACAAATGCAGGTATTCCTCGTTCCAAGGCAAACTGTATTTGTGATTTATGTGAATCTCTTGGAGCAAAAGAGAGAGTTAAAATCTCTTCAGAAAGTAGATAGCCACCAAAACTAGCCACCTGCAGCAGGAACAAAATATTACAGTTGCAGATTTCGAAGAACATTACTATAGATTCAAAGGAAATGAGCAAAAACAACGCACCCCACATCCCATATCAAGGGCGGTCCTCAAAACTCCACCAGCTATCGGAATATACTGTTTAAGTTTCTCAATATACTGCTCAGCTCCATCAGGAAACATAGTTCCACCACCAGGAAAGATAAAATATGGCCCTTCCTTTTTCATCCATCCTTGGTGTCCTTTCCTGTCAGCTATTTTATTATATGGCATATTCTCATGCCAAATCTGGGAAGAAAGGGAAGGATTAGTGTGACCTTGCACTGGAACATCAAACTTCCAGAAGAAAAAAGAAGTGAGAAATGCAGCCCTCAACAGAATGGGTTCCATTTAACGCAGCCGAGAGGCTCACAATCACATATGCAATCCAACAATTTAAGCAGAATCTAAAAGAAAATAAGAACTGTATATTTAACATATTGAGATGCTGAATCTAAAAGAAAATAAGAACTGTATTATTTAACATATTGAGAGGCTGAGTTTCTTTTTTTGATAACCATGGTGTTCACCCCTGCTTGCGCGCACCTCGACTAATTCCACAACATACCTATCACCTCCCACCAGCAACAAGTACTAAGTAACTCTATCCACCAAGACTAGGACAGATAGGAAGATATCACCTAGTGTTTTCGTCTCAATTGGGATTTAAACTTGAAACCTCATGTTTCTCAACCCACTTCATTGGCCACTAAGACACATCCTTGAGTGCATATTGAGAGGCTGAGTTACTAAGAACTGCCACCAAAAGAGGCCCAAGAAAAGGGGAAAGCCACTATCCACATTCTTCTAAAAGGAAAAAAGGAAGACTAAAAGAAAACTATTGTGGGATCCATCTAATGAAACAACAAGTGTGAATACAAGTATTAAGCTGGATCATACATAAGCTGCAGATGGGAATACATCTAGAAGCAACTTAAACATTGTTCGAGGTAGCTAACTCCAGCTCACCTACACTAAAAGCAACCAAACTGAGGGTACTTATGAATTCAAAAATCACTCAAACTGTTAACATAAGCAAAACTATCACCCCTAACAGCTTAAGACTTTTAAGTAAGGGTGTTCACACATTTCAACATGGTCTCAGAACATGCAAAAATCACGAGTTCCATTCTCACAGCCATCCATCAAACAAAGTATTTCCACATGCTATGCCAAAGAAAATAATTAGACTCAGTAGGAAGGCTGCATCTTGAAACCTAAAGTAAGTAAATACAAGTGTTTCTTCGACACATTTCAGCACAAACTTCTGGGCTGCAGGTTATTAGCTTCAGATCAATAACAACTAACCAAAGATTCGCCCTTTTCAGCACCAAAAGTAAACCTATGAGATCAGAACAGTTTTTTGAAATGCATTACCTTGTGCAAACTCTCAGGCCATTGAACAGGAACGCGGTAACCTTGTGTCGGTGGAATCAAACAAAGAGGCGTATCCTTAGGCAATGGACAATGTCTTTCCCTGTAAAAATTCATCTCTCTACTCAATTGGCTATTGATTCTCGGATCTTCACAAGGCATATAATCCACATAGTCAGCTGAGCATGCATCAATGGCTGTGTTGTGTCTCCCTGATTCCACCTTTTCCAAAATCACCATGTCATCAAAAAAACAGATCGAATAGAACTGAAGTATTAAATAATTTTTACCTGAGCAATTAGGCGACTCCGCTGTCGCGGATCCCCAGAGGCAGAACGGAGAAGAGTCTGGCGGCCTGAAGCAGCCAAAGAATCACCCAAAGGAGTACAGAGAAGAAGGAAGAAAATCAGTACTGCTGCAAAGAAAGCTGCTGAAACCAAATCAAGAAGTCGCCATTGTCGAACATTTCGCTTCGACGATGGTAGATTTAAGTGACCCATTTTCAGTATTTTGAGCAGTAGCAGTTAACAATACAACTTCAAGATCCAATCACACATATAGATATGTATATTTACAGAAATTTGAGTGTGGAAGATAAGGATTTGAAGATCTGAAGCATATGTATGAAGTAGATTTGTACTTGCTTTTTCAAGTGAGTGTGGCTTAAAGAAGCTTGCATAGAGAGACGATATTTTATTTTCTTTATTTTTTAGTACAGTATTTGTTACATTCAGCATTTTGGTGATTTAAAACTTAAAAAAGGATTTAAAAGAGGAAGTATGGAGATCTATGCAAACATAATTTCTTTTTTAGGTATATTACATTTGACGTTTGTCTCTCTTATAGATATAGTTTTTTTAGCATAAATTTTATTATTTTTATTGAATGGTTAGAAACAGTTTAATGTTATAAGTAAAATGTTATGAAGATATTCGATAAATTTTGAACTTATTAAAGATGGACTCATTAAACTCTTTGATGTCAAGTCTAAAAGCTTAATTAAGGTAGATGTGAAATTAGTGCTTTAGGGTTAGTGTATTCTAATTTAAACATTACATTCATTCATATGTGAGCGTGTACCTATAAGCCATGTAGATTTCAAAAGTTACCTATAAGCCAGTTCAAACCCGGAACAATGTAGATTTCAAAAGTTAAAGTTAGTTTCAAAGGATATGGACTTTTTTTTTTACAGTTTCAAGTATTTTATAAAGAATCAATGTAGATTATGAAGATATAAATATTTATCTCAGTTCAATCTAGAATTTGAATGCATAGCATGTGTTCCTTATACAAAGTTTTATCACTCAACCGTAATTAGTGATATTAATAACAGTATATCTCGATTAATAGCTCAACAAGTAAACTATCATTAATTTGTTGTACAAAGAAAGCCTGGTTTATATATACCAAAAAAATAAAAAACAGAAATGTCGGTGGTTATTTACACTTTCTTCTATCCTTTAGCCTTTGTATTGGTTTAATATTAGGAAAAATTACTGGACGAGCCCAACAGGGATATATATCACTTTATTTTTTTTAAAAAGACTAAAAATACGATGATAACTAGGGAGTATAAAGCAGACGGTACTAGTGAAGAAAAACAGAGTCATCAACCAAACCAACCAATACAAATAGATTAAACTCGAAGACTAATGACCATTGATGAATACGTCAGCACATATAAGCATCAACAATATAGGCTAGATTGAATCTTTCATCTTAAATTATAAAATGAACAAAAAAACAAGGTACTAAATGGGTAACGAGTAAATGGATTAGCATTCGTTGATGACACATCACCGAGAAAGGTTGCAGCAAGTAGATCAGGCAAAAATATTTACTTTTTCAGCAACTGGTAATTCTATAAATATGAACAGCAGTCCCCTCTATTATCCAGAAAAAATTCTCGAGCCCCCAAAAGATATGGCTTTCCAAGACTCAACCAAGTTCTGTAGACAATGGTCTGGTCAACTTCATGCAGCATACCTAACCTCGCAATCAAGGAAAACAAAACTGCCTGCTACCATCCTCCTCAGTCGTTTCAATGTTTCCTTGATGTTCTAGCGATGTAGTCATGCTTAAGAAGGTTTGCTCTCAAAAGCATTGATCTCACATCCCGATCGAATTCCTTGCCTGTCTGCAGCACCTTCTGGAATGTTGCATTTCTCTGATCAGCATGTCGTGCATACAAAATTTTGTTGTGTGAGTCAATTCGAGCCTGCAGGACAGTAACAATCATGATTTATATACATTGAAATTGACCAAACACAGCAGATGGATACAGAGGTGCATGTTACTAGTCCTTCACCTGAATTTGGTTGTCAGTGATCAAAGCTTCAAGTTCCTTTTCCAACCCGGCAACACTCGTCTTGAAAGCATTAGCCATCATATTCAAATCAACCGAGACAAATGGGTGGGTATACTGTATCAAAGCTTTGCTACGGATTTGATCATACAGTGTCTCAACATGGTCATGCAAATGGATGTCAAGCAATAGATTTGCTTTAAGGTTCCCTAGATACTCCAGACAAGAAGCATAGTGACTGCATCATAGATAAAGACCGAGAGGAAAGAGAAGTGTGAGAAAATCAATTCCAAGACAACTACAGACATCAAGAGTTCATTCGATTTCGAATTCATACAAACATTTTAGTTGGATTAAAGAAATAATAGTTTGTAGGAAAAGAGGAACTTGTCAAATTATATACACACGCAATGTACAGATGGGCAGGATAAGTCCTCTACGTCTCTTCTTTTCTCCTAGTTCCATCCTTCCTTTCTCTACTAATCCAAGAGGAATATATAAATGGAACAGCAAGTATAGCTGCCACATCCTCATTTACACAATAACTACTATGCCTCGACCCCAAACTAGTAGCGATACTAATTATCGACAACCATTCTATCTATCAGGGGGTTGAACTTGATAAAAGATAAAACAGGACCATCAAATTGCTCAAATAAAATGTCACATATGGAACTCATCAGACAATATAATACATGAAAGGGAATTCCTAACACACACATCAGATCGATAGCATCTACCAATGTTTAGTCCACTGAGACCTTCCTGCATAGTAGATCTAATTCAAAGTATCATAACAGAATTCAAATTTTACCTTGTATAGAAATCATGAATGAGCTCCCTTATCTCGGGTACCAGCTCTAAGAAATTTCTGAAGTTTATATTGTCAATAACTTTGCTCTGTCAAACAAAATCATCTGAATCAGCAAGTGACATCGTAATTATTATGCAACTGCGACAATAAAAGCATTTAAGAGGAACAAGAATATTGTATTATTGCCTTCAGTTCTGCTCGGTCAAAACTTGCAAGTGCACAGAGTCCACCATAAGTAGCAACATCTTGGGGTGCAATAACCTCAGTGTAGTTGTTACCTAATTCTGGACCAACTTCCAGGAACTGCAACAACCCAGTGAAATGTCATGTAAATAAAACAAAAGATTCATAATTCCTTCTGTGGTGCAATTTAATCAAGTAAGAAGAAAAGAATAGCAAAACACATGGTAATCTGCTATAAACTGATAGTAGCGAATGACAAAATAGAAGGCAATTGTGCTTAAGTACATCAATTAACATTTACAAATAGACGAAATTAGTTAAGGAAAAAGTATGCACATTATATCCGTCCTACCAAGAACAGCATCAATTTGGATATGCATTTGATGGGCCTAAGGTCGTACTATCATTTTGCCTTGCAAAACATTAGTTCAGTTGTTCCTTTTCTTGTTTTTTGAATTAAAATTTCTCCAGCTGCTTGTTTCAAGAGCAGCTTGCCACTTCAATCCATTCCAGTAACAAAAGGCAGCAAAGATAATATGCAAATTAACTTGGGCAGATATTGAGTATCTGTAAGACGTTTTTGAATTTCCTTGCAGTACCCTAAATGTAGTGCAAGAGAATCAAGGAAGCAAAAACATTATTAAAATCCAAGCAGAAAACAGGTACCCCTTCCCAATTCTACTGCTTTCTTTCTGGATTTCATTCCCTCTGCTGCCTCTATATTTCCCAAATTATCCTGATAACTCCTACCACCTTCATTTAGTTGGGATTTCCTCATGGTTTCTACCAATTCATTTCTTTCTTGTTTCATTGGTACTCCCAGCTGACCCATAGTTGCTTCATATCCCATGCATCCCTTCTCTCACAGCATTGTGTATTCGCCAATTAATGGCCTGATGCAACTGCGAGTCTTTTGTTTAACTCATGCATGCTCTTATGGCCACAAATATAATAATATTGCTAAGAATACAAGTTCTAATGATACTTTGGGATGTACAATCAAAAACTACCATACTTTAACACAAGATATTTTGTTGATGAGATAGGTAAGTAAAACAACCAGGATAAGTCCTTTATATAACAGCAGAAGACAATTAGTTATGACAATTCTAAAGAATAGCAACAAAGCTGTCCAGCAATCTTGCAAAAATCTTAGGCACCACATTGTAGAAGAACAATTCGCCTTGATCAGTATATTTTCGAGTTTTCAGTATAAGAGAGCATGAAAATCGAGAATCAGGGTAAACCGTTAGTAGGTAGGTAGTCAAGCATTTACTCTCATCCCAGTAGAAGAGCAAGGTTCTCGTCTGGAGCATCTAGTTGTTCTCTCACCCATATTATTATTACTATTGTTTTTTGTTTTAATTCTATTTCTACCGTCAATACTTCTCTTTCTTCAATATTTACATCACAACTTTTTACTCTTGCATTTCTTTCAAACTTGTTCAGAAAAATGATTTTCTTGACCGATGGGTTTATTGAAAACAACCTCTCTATCCTACAAAGGATAAGGTCTACGTACACCCCCCCACCCCACCCCAAAACAAAGAAGAAAAAACCCAGTTGTGGACTATACTGAGCATGTTGTTGTTGTTGTAAGTGATTTATGTATGTAAAGTATTTTTTAGTCTTTAAAGACCAACTGTAATCTGGATAGTTGTTTCTAAAATCATTTCAACCTTCACTAAACTAAGATCATTAAACTAGATAAAGTTTGTTTCTGTGAACCTAGATTAAGGACCATAAAGCACTTATTATCAATTCAAGACTGAACCACAACTTAATAGGCCTCATTAGTCAGAAATGTGGCACAAACCTTCCGAGCAGCAAGCTTATATTTCTTTGCCTCCAAATGAGCCAACCCCGCAGCACAACGAAGTTTTGCAACTGTAATAGCATCTAGAGCATCTTGACTCTGCTCCGCCTTACTAACATAGCTTGTAACATGTGTGAACTGGCCCATCTCAATGCTGACCAGAATCGCATTCAAACACATATGGATTATGTGTTTCGCAGTCGTACAATAATCACGTGTACGAACATAATTCTTAAATGCCTCTCCAAGCTGTCCATGTGCATAGTAGAAATCTCCAAAATCATTGTATCCCATCCTAATGCTCTCTTTGATCAGATTTGTCTACACAGAAAAGTCAAATGAGCTCCACTTAAGCAATAAAATTAGATTAATAAGTCAAACAACCAGAAATAAAAAGTAACATAATAATGGCAATGAAATAGCTAAAAAGGAAATCTAATGGAAGGGTGCAATGGCGCCAAGATGAAGAAAAAGGTAGTAATTCAAGCTTAACAGATGAAGTGTAAGCCTAATCAAAAGAATTTCTTATGTGTTAAGTTCATACACAGGTAATAGTTAATACGGCAATATCATAACAGTATGCCTGGTCAATAATACGTCAACTTCTTGGTTCCTTTTGTAACTATGCATCTTATTGATGCCTTAATTAAAGTTCTGATTTTACTTCATCAAAAAACAGGTCAACTTCCGACATATTTATGAGTCAAAGGGGGCATAATGGCAAGAACAAATGAATGGAACACTAGACTGTTCCATAAAGTGTGAGACCGGTGTAGACGGCAATAAGAAATCTTTTTTGTTCCGCTAGCATTAAGGCGAGGAGAAAATACCATCTTGTATGAAAATTTGATCAACCTTAGTGGAAGATGATGGATTCATCAAGAAGAGTCAAACCCAGTCATGCATGTCTTTTACCTTTTTTTCCCAACGATGTGTTTGTTGATTAAAAAATTGGACTTATCAAACAAAAAAAGCAATTGGCCTGATCTAATAAATCTGAAACAAATGTACTTTGGAGTAAGAAGAGTGGAGTAATCTGTATTTCCATGAAAATGGTAAAAAGTAGAAAGATAGTTCTTCAAAAAGAACTTTAAATTCCCCCAAAATCCATATCACTCAAGAATGTCTAACCATATTGACCAATCTGAAACCCACTTGGCTAGCACCTTTGACTATCCCCACTTAATCTTCCCTTTAGGCAGAGTAAATATATCATGAGGGTACATGTAACGAACCGTGCAGCACCGAATAAATCTAACAACAACATCAGGTAAAAGAACTGGTCAGAGAGGAAGTTTCTCGTAAAATGCAGGCCATAACACAACGAGGATACATGTCTATAAACTTACAAATACAAGTCTTTTCTCAATTGTCTATACCACAGAATACAATGAACGTATATATATTCTTATTCCAAGGATAGATGTTTGATTAACCCTCCCTTGTTTTTCGCTCTTTTTTCCTCTTCTTTTGTCATTTTGCATACACTCTAAGCAGTTCGGAATTTTCAGCTAAAGTAGAAATATATCCTATTAAAAAAACCGCTTGCCAGATAAGTGAAGGCACAAAATGATGGGGAAAACTGGGTGGTCAAGCAAGTAACTAACCAGTATCTACTGGGAGTTGAAAATGTTTCATAAGGGTACAACAGTTCCTATTAGTGTCAATTTCAGATTAATTATAACCATGACTGATTTCTTTTTCCTATTTAGGTAATGAATTGGAATTGGTTTAATTTTTTTATGAGTCAAAATTTTCATTGACACAAAGTAGTAACTAAAAGTAACAAGGAACTGTTACTAAGCTACTAACTCCTGAGTGCCTAATGTATCATGATGAAAAAACTATCCCAGCAAGCTTACCCCTTCCATATCTTATCAATAACATGTTTGTTACTTCAGCTTAACCAAATGGATACATCCCTAAGTATGTGCTATAATTGAGAAAGATAGAACTAAAAGAACGAACACAAAACCATAAATTTACCTTGATTAAGAACACTGAATAAAATTCAACACACACATTAGCCACCACCATCCTAGTTCCCTAGCAACCCCTTTCCTAATTATGGATAATATAACCTGAATGTTTTCACTATCTAAATATGAACAGCAACTTAGTAATTTATAATAATATCATGTTGTTTCTGATTATGGAGATTTTGATATAAAAAATAATAATTAATCTAATCATATTTAGCTTCCAGGGTTATCCAAATCGACTCTTATACAAGAAAAGTGCAGAAAACAATTGTAACAAAGGGAATAACAAGCTAATTTACTAAACATTAAGCAGACAATGAAGGGTGTCGATGAAAGCAACGGAGATTTAAACAGAATAAAAGTTTTCTTCAAAGAAAGATACCCTATAAGCGTTGAGTTCACTCTCAAGCTTCTCCTTCCTCAAATCAGCCCGGCGATCCACAGAGTCAGCCCAAGCAGGGTCTGGCCCATAATTAGTGCCCAAACGTCCATCGATTTTCTGCACAACCTCACGGAACAATTGTGTGTTTTCCCCTTTCTTAATCTCATCATAGGCCATTCTCAAAGCCTCCAACTGCATTGAAGCATTGCCACATCGATCGGCTATAAAGTGAAGCCTCATGATTTTTGTCCGGCCACTGTATAAGGCAGCGTACGCCTCAACATCCAGCTGCTCGCTGCTGATAATCGGCCGGTGACGCTGCGTGTTTTCATCGCCGTTGGCGTAGATCTCGTCGGCTATTAGCCCTAAATCCTCGTCGGGTTCCATCGGATATTAATTTGTAGAATGTTTGATCGGAGCTAGGGTTTTTGATCTGTCTTCTTACCACTTCCGGGAGCAACACTGATAAGAAAACACTTGAACTGATCCTGCACGTGTGAACTTTATATTACCAAGTAATGGGCCTTCTAAGCCCGTATCCTGGCACAATTCGAACTGTTTTCCTACTATGGCCCAGTTCGCATAAATAAAGATGCTAAAAAAAAAAGTATACAAAAATTAAGGAAAAATTGCATGACTTAGATAGATAATCTTCTTACTATATTTATAATTCGTAAATATACTCTTTTTTAAAAAAATTACACTTCTTAACACTACTTAAAATTCTATAGCCTACACCTCTTTGTAGCTTAATTTTCTTCAATTAATTAATATACCGGGTTGTAACCATCATTGTCAATCATAAGTATGAATGTTATCTTGTACATGATCCCAAAATAGGTCAGCTGGACTAAATATGCATAAAGGATTAATGTTCTTTATAAAGAAGTGGTCAAATATGGAAAAATTTTAATATGGTTGAGGCCCAACCAACGATAGTTGAGTGAGGCTCCATTCAATTTTTGATACTTGGATTTGTGGGCCTCATTTTAACACCACACACTCTCTCACCTTATTTTTTCCCAAATTCCCCTTTTTCCCTCCAAAATATTTTAGCTCCTTGTTCAATATTCCTCTCTTTTTCAGTAGTTTTTTTTAATTCTTTGTGCTCTTTATTAATTAGTAACTTGATTAGCTCTTTCTTTCCCATTAATCATTTTTGTCCCTAGACTAAATCAATTTAAAAAATTGCCACCTCTCAATTAATTTAACTAAAATATAATTATTCTTCGTAGCCTTAGAAAAAACAATCTTTTAAATTTTTTATTTTTCATCTCAAAAAATTGAATCAAATTTCTAAGATACCTTTAAAAGATAAATTTTGAATGAGAAATTCACACACACTTTATATTTGTATTAAGAAGTATTCACTGAATATAAAAAATCAAACTAAATAAAAATTTAGTCAAATTACATATTTCTTTTACTTCAATTTATTTTTAAAAAATTTGACATAATCAGTTTTGGTTTCAAAGTAAAAATAAATCGAAAAATCACCAAACTGATTATAAAAATATCTCCCTCTTTA